GCCTAGCAGTTCTCAACAAGGGAGAATTTTGTCCCTCGGGAGACTTGGCAATGCCTGAGATGTTTTTGGTTGTCACAACTCAGAGAAGGTGCTCCAGGCATCTAGTGAATAAAAACCAGGGATGCTGCCAAACATCTTCACAATGCACAGGATAGCTCTCACAACAAAGAATTATGTGGCCCCCAAATGACAATAGTGTCTCAGCAGAGAAACTGAAACTTGGTCTCTGGAAAATATTTTAACTTCATTTACCACCACTGCCTACCCTACTTTATGCTCAGGGAATCCCTGATGTTAGTTCCCCCTTCCCATCTGGTTTCACGCTTCTGTGCTGTGCTCATCCTCCTTCCTCTTGTGAAGATCACTCTCCCCACATTGCTTCTTCTCCAGACCTTTGTTTCAGCCTTCAGGATTAAGTTTACCTTTCTCTTCGGAGAATTTTGCCCCAGATGCCCTCCCATGGGAATGCCTCCCGATGGCACCCTGTCTACCAAGCCACTTCACTTTTGAAATTACCTGTTTCTGAGCTTCCCCCACTTAAACTGATCAAGGCCTAGGACCTATTTTATTTCCCTTTATGATAGTGAAAAACAGCAGAGGGCAAAAAGAAAAGCAAATCACTCAACCCCTAACGAACTTTGATCTTCTCTGTGAAGGAATAACCTCGAGGTTGATTTGAAGCAGGTGATGGGGAGACCAGGCATGATGAGGAGAACGTGACAAAATGTGTCCACTCTTCTAAATGAGGATTTGTTTGGCACAGGGGCTAAGAACACATATCTGAAAATGGGGATATTGATAGTTTCTTTCTCCAGTCATCGCTCTAAAGCAAATAAAGTAAGAATCCATAGAAAGAGCTGGACACATAGGAAAGTACTCAATAAACAGTAGTTACTTTTATTGAAGGTTCAGATGAGTAGGCCTGTCATTTTATAGATATTATTGATCAGCACCGGTTCAAAGCAAGGGGCAGCACCTATTTATATTTTAAAGATAGGTCAAATTAAATATTAAGTCAATAATAGTGCAAGTGGTGTATGCGGTAAGGCAAAATTCATGGAGATGCTGTGTGGACACTGAAGTCTGCAAAACAGAAATGAAACTGAACTGGGTTCCTTCTAGCTTTAAAGGTCTATGGCTCTGAGACCACTAGTAATATTAATACCCCTCACCATCCCTTCCTTTGTCCAGGCGCTGGGCTGACCACCTCCTATCACTACCTCATTTAATCCACATGGTAAATGCAAAAGGTGACAGATGATCATTAACCTGTTTTCTTTGTTACAGATCAGGAAACCAGAGGCTCAAAGCGCATCCCCCATTTGCCTAGGGTTACAACTGGTAAAGGAAGGAACCAGCCATTAAAGTAGTAGAAAGAGCCCAAGATTGCAAATTATGATCTGTGTCTACAGTGTGGAATTAAGCTTATAATTGAGAAGTTTTCTAGTTTAGTCTAATCATGCACTCATATTTAGATATTGCTTTTACAAATGAATTTTCCCCTAAAGGATTCTGCTGCTTTACAAACTGCTACTTAGCTCAAAATTAGCTGGATCTTGAAGCCAACCATGGGGCTGGCTGACCTGAGAGTCAAGTTCCTTCAAGGCAAATTTTCATTTAGCGGAAGAAGACATAGTGCTGGGAAGGTTTGACTTCTGCCCCCAGAGCTCCTTTCTGCTGAGGGTTCTCAGGGAAGGTGTTCGGGAGATCGGCACATCCCCCCAGCTGGCAGCTACACCAGTGACCTTTAATACTAGTTTATCTTAAATACATTTTGACATTTTAAACAAATTAATGTATCTCTACAAGGTGGGGCAACCACCACAAATTCAGCCAAATGGTTTGCCTGTAGGCCAGGTCACTAGGCAAATACTTCAGAGCTTCACTGCTGCTCCCTCATTCCTTTTTCTACTCTACCCTGCCAAAGGAAGGGTTTATTTTCCTCCAGAACCTCTTGGGCAAAAGCCAGCAGCCTCAGGAGTAACCTTTAGCCCCATCTCATTAGCATATCACTTTGGAGTCCCTGGAGCAGGAATAGAACTTAATCCTGCCTGCCAGAATCAGCTCAAAAACTCCGTTCTACAGTATATGTTAGGTTGTGTTGGTGGGAATGTCTTGATGAGAAATAAAGTGCCTCTACTGTGTGGGTCTAAGGCACCGTTTCCTTGAGAAAGTACCTGGAAACAGGGGTGTATAACATGAGAAGGATACAAAAGGAAGTGACAATGTAAGAGAGGTGAAAAAGCCCAGTCTCCACAGAGGCAGACCCTAGTCTACCAAGTGACCGCCATCTCTCCTCTGAGCATCTCTCATAGACAGGTCATCCAGCCAAATCAAGTGGGAATTAAAGGGATTCTGTGTTGCTGCTGTTGAAAGTGTCTCTGAAGCACAAAGGCCACTTTAGTCACAGGAAACTGCCACAGGGTGACTTATTTGATGGAAAAGAAAACAAACAGATACAACGGCTGGTGTATTTTTGAGGCAGTATTAAATCTAATAAACATGACACCAATGGTATTGGCTTAAATCAGGTTGGATGAGTTGGAGAATTTAACAGCTTATCTTTCAACTAGCAGCCTTTATCTCAGAGGCAGCCTTGACAGCAGAGAACAGAATCCAAAGCATGTCCTTCTAAGGCTTCTGCCAGGTGTGTGCCGTCCCTGACCTCTGCCCTGGCCTCAGCTCTCGGAGTGGGGATAATGAGAATGTCATTTCTGCCAGCTTTGTTTTTTCTGGGTCACTGACTTCAGACTTGATCAAAATAGGAGTGTTGTACTGAAATAAATTCATTTCCTCTTCCTCAGCCAGCCTTGGCTTATTTCCTGGGGGACTGTGCTCCACAGGGCCAGTGTGGACGGAGAGCTCTGTGCGAGCACAATGTGTAGCCAGAGGGCCAAGGTGGAGTCACGTGGTAGAGGAAGAGCAGGGCCTCCCCAGCAGCCATGCTCCCTCTCCCTCTCATCGGCAGGGCACTGACATGCAAAGGCCTCAGACAGACGTGCTGGGGAACACATCACAGCAAACTGCTCTGGGAGCTGTTAAGGCTGGTGTTTAATGTTTGTCCAATGGCCTCAGTCTGAAAGGCTCTGTAGAACATGCATAACACAAGCTCAGCTTTATACTCCATTAGCATTCAAATTCCTAGCTGCCCAGAGGCATATGGTACTGGCCAGAGAAGGCCAGCCTAGGTGGAAGTTGAGGGCACACAGAGACATGGGGACAGAATGAGGTTGCAGGGTATCTGGGACAGACACATAGAGACAGGAGGCAGAGAGCCCCAAAAGGCGTAAGAGGGGAGGTCACAGGCATCCTCTGTCTTCTTTACATCACCAATTGCCCCCCATTAAGAGACAGAAGTAGAGGGAGGGCCTTGTCTCAGACTTTGTGCACCTCATTACTGAGGGTCAGGCTTCCTCTAGCCAGAGAAATAGTGGGCCTCAGAATGACAATCACAGTTCATGTTTTGTTTTCAGACTTCCTGATTCAATGAGGAAAACAAAGCTTTCCTTGGGCTTTCATTCAAGGCCGAAGGAACAGTAGCTACATTACTGTTAATATTTTGACCAGCAATGGGACAGAGTTTTCTGCCCTTGTCTAGCCTAAGAGAAGAGGAACATAGGTGAATGATGGGGTGGAGAGAGCATGTAACAGTTCTCTGAAGAGTGCTCAGTGATAAAAAGTCACTATCAGGGAGATACTGGGGCCAGCATTGGGCTAACTCCTGTGCCCAGAAGGGAACTAAAGTAGAGCCATGTTTGATTGGCCCAGATATCCCCCGTGGCTTACACAGGATTTGACATAAAGCAACACCACACACACACACACACACACACAAACAAGCAAGCACCTTTGCATCTAACACCTTACCCATCTCAAATCCATCTCCTTGTCATCCCCACTGCTGCCATCCTAACTCAGGCCACTATCACCCCTCACCTGAGCCCCACAGAGGAGCCTCCTGAATAGCAGTGTGACTCCCATCTCACCTCCTCCTCCACATGGTCTCAACAGCAGCCAGTGTGGTCCCTCAGCCACCCAAATATAACTGTGTCTTACCCCTACTTGAAGCCCTTTCATGGTTTCCCACAGCCATTGAAATAAGACCAGATCTATCCATCTCTCCTTTGCTTGGCACATTAGTCTACTAGGGCTAAGAAAACAAAATACCACAGATTGGTGGCTTTAACAAGAGAAACTTTTTTCTCATATTTCTGGAGACTTGAAGTTCAACATCAAGATCTCAGCAGGTTTGTCTTCTCCTCAGGCCTCTCTCCTTCACTCAGATGACCACCCTGTTATTGTGTCTCCCCATGGCCATTTTCTCTGTGCCTATCATGGACTCCTTCCTGATCTGTCTTCCAGACAGATTAGTTAGGACTTCAGTGCTATGAATTTAAGGGTGACAATTCAGTCCCTAATACCTCGCCACTGCCTACCTCCTGACTGTCAGTGCTCACCACTCCCCTACACTCAGTCCACAGCAGCATTACTGAGTTTGTAGAAACTGGATGGGCCATACCATCTCTAACTTCTAGACCTTCACCATGCTATTCCCTCTACCTGGTTTGCCCTCAACTCTGCTCTTCTCCTCTTCCCCAAACACAATGCTTTCACTCCATTCCTCTCCTAGTGGTCACTTCAGACCCTGCTGAGGAAGCATCTTCTCTGGGAATACTCTGCCTTCTGACTCCTAATCTGGATGAAGTGCTCCCATACTCTCTCTGCTGCTTCCTTCTCATAAGATGAAGAGTAATTGACTGACAGCTTCTCCAAAGGCTCTACTAGACCATGAGTCATTTGAAAACAGAGGAGGAGTGATATGATATTCTTTTGAATTCTCAAACCTAGCACAAGGCTTAGTCCAGAGGAGGTACTCAACAAATATTCAGTGAAAGAACAAAGCCACCTGTTTCTTTGCTGAGAAAACAGAGAGATGGGGTGTACCAGCTCAGCAATGCACTAAATCTTATATTTCCAAATCACCCACTCATGAACAGTACCTGAGTGTTGCCCAAGATGGATGCCAGGCCCATGCTAATGGACGATCCTGTCCCAAAGTACTGTTAATAGAGTACAATCTAGTTTTTCCAGCACTCTGTTTTCTAGAAGCCTCTATGACTTTGCGTTTCTGTCACAATGGAGACATTTGCGTATCATAGCAACAGGGAAGCCCTAGAGCAGCAGTGGTCCTCAAACTTTAGTGAGCATCAAAATCACCAGGAAGCCTTGTTAAAACACAGATGGTTGGGCCCTACCCCAGAGTTTCTGATTCAATAAGACATGCTTGGGGCTTGAGAGTGTGCATTTCTAACAACTTCCCAGGTGATGCTGTTGCTGCTGGTCGAGAGACCAACTCTAAAAAACTGCTCCGGAAGATCTTTCTGGAATTATTGGGGGAAAAAAATTACACTGTGTTGGACATGGCATAAATGATAAATATGTTTACCAGAACATTTAATCAGCTATCCCTCCCAAGTTTGCCAGAAAACAACGTTGCTGAAATTCATGGGGGTGGGGGGGAGGCAATAAGCCAATTATTCTTTCAAGGTAGTACTGCTCCTGGAAAGATATTGTAACCTAATGGTGTGTGTTCTATTCTTTTTGCAGGTGCGATTAGAGTGGCCAACAGACCTTGCAGTCAATCCCATGGACAATTCATTGTATGTCTTGGATAACAATATTGTGCTGCAAATTTCTGAGAACAGGCGTGTGCGGATCATTGCGGGGCGCCCCATTCACTGCCAGGTGCCAGGAATCGATCATTTCCTGGTCAGCAAGGTGGCAATTCACTCCACTCTGGAGTCGGCAAGGGCCATCAGCATCTCCCACAGCGGGCTGCTCTTCATAGCTGAAACAGATGAGAGGAAAGTAAACCGCATTCAGCAAGTTACCACCAATGGGGAGATTTCCATCATGGCTGGTGCCCCCACTGACTGTGACTGTAAAATTGATCCCAACTGTGACTGTTTTTCAGGTATGACCTTTTTAGCAATTCACCAGATCCCCCTCTCTGTTTTCAAAAGAAAAACGTGTATCAGAAAAGTCAGAAAGAAAGCAAAGGCGTTACTTGTCAACTTCGGTACGAGCTAGTGGAGAAAGCAACGTGTTTTGGGCAAGAGAGCCTAGTATTGGGTCACTGTTCTGCAACTGACTCAGTAGCCCCCAAAACCGTTTCATGACTCACTTCATTTGTTAAATGGCGAGATCTCTATCTCCCTTATAATATGTTGCTCTTTTGAGGTTAGACTAGTATAATCAAAATGTTGATACTCTAAGAAGTTAAGATCATAATGCAAATTTATGATCAAGATATTGTTTGTACTTTGGAAAAAGAGGAATTAGGGAAAACCCATATTTACCGACTTAACTAAGGGGAAAAATCCTTCCCTTAATTGACTGGTTTTCAGATTTTCAGCATATGGAATCTAAAATCTAGAGGCACGAGGGACGAGGCACAGACTACTTTGGGAATACATGGGCAACATTATGTCCCACAATGGAGGTTTCTTGGAACATCAGACTGCTACTTACATTTTTTTTCAAGTCCAAAACTTTCACCATAATCAATAGTGCCCTTTGCTGCCAATTGAAATAGGAAAAAGAAAGAAAGAGAAAGCTTTTTCCCCAAAAGACAGAGTGGATATTCCAGATAGCAAACACTCCTCTAAATGTCAATAGATACATTTATTGCTGAGATGTGGAAATCCCTCCATGCTATGTGCAGCCCTATTAAACTGCTCATCCAGTCCCAAATGTTTCTCTTAACCTTTGCCTTTCCTTGGGCCAGAGGAATCAAGAGCGAGCAACTTGATAGATATGACTTTAGATCAATAGTTCCAATGTTTTCCTGGACAATTAGTTTTATAGTTATTTTGCTAATTTATATCTTTCATTCAAGGCAAATCTAATGTTTATTCCAGTTATCAAATTTGATGTTCTGAATCATTGTTACACTTACAGACTTAGTGTACGTTGACAACATGACAAGGGGAATTAACAGAAGAAAACTCCTCCAGGCACAGTAGGATTGGAAAGTCCTGAGATAGATCCTACCAGCATCAGCAGGCATAAGTCTCTTGGATTTCCAACCCAATTTTGTGTGACTGTCATTATTTGTTGTTTTTGTATTTCGCCATACAACAGATATTGAACAGCAGGCTTGAGGATATCACAAAGTTGGTGTTAACTGAGATAATTGCCTCTTAGTGTTCATTTGCAGTAGTACTGACTCAAGAATTTTGAATAATGGGTTTCAGAACTGTCAAGAGGTGCATGCAGTGCGTCCTTTTAAAATGATTCTTTTTACAATGAATTTTATTGAAGTAACATTGTATTATAACATTATACAAGTTTCAGGTGTGCATCATTAAAATTCAACATCTGTATATACTGCATCAAGTTCACCATTAAAAGTCCAATTGTATCCTTCACTGCATAATTAACCTATTTTACTTGATTTACCCACCCCTTCCCCTTCCCTCTGGTAATGCCTAATTTGGTCCAATAGTTTATTTAGTTCATTCATTTGTTTGGTTTCTCTATATGCCACACATGAGTGAAATCATGGAATGATGAACACCTGAAATGATTCTTGATGCATAGTGTTTTCTGGGCAAGATACGTTCATATAAATGTTTGTGATGACAATTATTAAAATCACAGTCTTCCTTCCACAGGGGATGGTGGCTACGCCAAAGATGCAAAGATGAAAGCCCCTTCCTCCTTAGCAGTGTCACCTGATGGTACCCTCTATGTGGCCGACCTGGGCAATGTTCGCATTCGTACCATTAGCAGGAACCAAGCCCACCTGAATGACATGAATCTTTATGAGATTGCTTCACCTGCTGATCAGGAACTCTACCAGTTCACAGTCAATGGAACCCACTTGCACACCTTGAACTTGATAACAAGGGACTACGTGTATAATTTCACCTACAATGCCGAGGGAGACTTGGGCGCAATTACCAGCAGCAACGGCAACTCCGTGCACATCCGCCGTGACGCGGGCGGTATGCCCCTCTGGCTCGTGGTGCCTGGTGGGCAGGTGTACTGGCTGACCATAAGCAGCAATGGCGTCCTGAAAAGAGTGTCCGCTCAAGGCTATAATCTGGCCTTGATGACTTATCCTGGAAACACGGGGCTGCTCGCTACCAAGAGTAATGAAAACGGATGGACCACCGTCTATGAGTAAGTTTCTAATTTTCAACACGGACTTTGACAGGTTATTTAAAAGTGTATTATAGTGGGAAAATGGCTCAGTATTTGCTGACTACTGCATGCTATTTTCTCCTAACAACCACCTTAAAAAAAAAAATCAAGGAGAAAATTTTGCCCAGCTCCTGAGGTTCAGAACAGCTTCTCCAGGGTAGTTTTGTAGACCACAATAATAAAAACGTAGGATGAATGGAGACTCAAGTGTGGCACTGCAGGAGACAAGCATGAGGTAGAAGTCCGTGTACTCAAGAAATTTACAACATAGCTGGGAAACAAGGTAAATTCTCGTTTAAACAGCAAAACCAGACAATAGTTCTAAGGCAGCAAAGAAGCAGTGTGGTTTCACAAGTATTTATTGATCCCTGTAGGGTTTAATGAATGAATAAATGAATGTGTACCCAGCCCAGCCCAACTCTGTGTAAGTGGCTGTGGGAGGTGAGAGAGAAGTTAGAATATAAGAAGTAGACCTGGAAAGCAAGTGGGAAGGATGGGCAGCAAACCCTGGAGAGGCCACTGTCCATTGCTGCTTTGTGAATTGTGGAGCCAGTGCCCCTAAGCAGGTTTGGGCCTCCTCAGTGTCCCTGCGCCAAAGAGTCCAGCACCTTTGGGCCTCCTCAGACTGGTTCTGTGATCACTTTGTTTAACTGGTAATTAACACAAGGTGTGTCTGACAGCAAGCCACTGGACGGCGTGCCACAGAATGAGAGCTCATCTTGCTGGCCTTAGGAAGCACACACAATCTCATTTGCAATTCCACCCATTTAGAAAGCTAGTCTGCCAGCACATGGCCAACATCTTCCTCACAAAGGGAATTGCTGACGGCCTCCCTGGTGGCCTACAGGTTAAGTCTCAGCGCTATCACCACTATAGCCTAAGTTCGATCCCTGGCCAGCCAGGGAGCTACCCACAGCAGACCTCTCCTGTCTCGCCCACAGCTCCCACCAGCAGTCTGCTCACCCTGTAGATCTGCCTGTTCTATTCCCCACTCTGTCTCTGGTGAATCGTCTCACACACACATCCCCCAGAACCTCTGGCCCACACCCCAGTTCCTCTACACAAAAAACAAATCTTTTTTTTAAAAAAGGCAATTGCTGAATTTTTCACCAGTTTACTAAGGGAACATAATCCATGGAATCAAATGCAGCTTCTGAAATGGTTTTGTTAAGGATTGAGAAGTGCAGTATGAGGGGTTCCAAGAGGGGCTTCTCTATGAGGAGGTAGAGAATAGGAAGAGAATATACCCAGTCCCATAAAAGCCTCCTGAGGAAAGAGACAAAACAATTGGCCTTCAAATTTTGGATCCTTTCCCAAAGAAATGCCACTTATACAAAAGAGCTGGACAGCTATTTTAGTTTCACTAAGAAAAATGTTTTCAGTTGTTTCTCTTGCAAGTCTTCCTCTGTTTTTTGCAAAATTTGTCTTACAACTTAATAAGAGTAATAAAAGTCACAGTTCACCAAAGCTTTACTATGTGCCGACTCCGAGCTAGGTGATTTACATACGTTATTTTTTTTTCTGGATCTCCCAAGTGACAACATAGCAAAGGTGACCAAGTATGCCTGTTTTATAGATAAGGAAACTGAGGCATAGAATGGTTAACTTGTCCTGATTCACACGAAAGTCTAGGACTCCAACAGTCAATTCAAGAGCCTGCATATTTTAATACACTACCCTTAAGATGAAGTTTCTAATGAGATTTCTTTTTTTTTAAATTTCACGTGATATTGCACTGCAGCTGAAATTAGGCAACTATTTTGAAAGCTAGTGAATGAACTTGGCCCAGCATCAAGAAGTGGCTGAACTATTAGCTAATTTTTTAAATAACCAGTTCAACCACTTATTCATTTATG